GCGAGGACAATGGAGAGGGAGGGACACGCAGGAGGAGGGCGGAAGAATGCTCCAAACACCTGCCACTGATTCTCACAGAACGGGTAAAATGCTGGAAACAGGAACTTAGAACCCTCACCTCATCTATATTGTAAGACGTACATTTTAATACTGACACATTGCTGCTATGCCGTATAGACTTTTATGAACATCACAAATACCGAAGGAAGAGAGAAAGGAGGGAGGGAGGGCAGGCAAAGGAGAAAGACAACTAACCAGCACCGGCTTGAGAAGGGTGAAGTGCGGGTAGTAATAGGGAGGAAGGGTAAGCTTCGGTGTTGCTGCCTAAAAAGGAAGTTGTGATTTAATTTTAAAAAGTTGCAGAATTTGGACACGGCAAGGATAAAAATACCAGCGTGTCAGAAGTGGGATTCGAACCCACGCCTCCATGCGGAGACCAGAAACCCCGAGCGCGGGAAGCGAGAGCTTGAGTCTGGCGCCTTAGACCACTCGGCCATCCTGACGCACCGGCGAGGAGCGCGCTGCCCTTCGGTGCTCTGATCCGCCGCTCGGGGGAGCCCGGCTCGGCCGGGACCACCTGCGGCCCCCTGCGCGCTCTGAGCTGCGCTCGGCCCCGCGCGGGGGCGAAAGAGCCGGTCTGCGGGAAGCCCGAGGCTGACGCGGTGGCGCCGGGGGAGGCGCGCCGAGCGCGAGCCGGGCTGTGAGGTTCGGAGCGCACACGGGCAAGGAGGGGGCGGGGGAGAGGGGCTTACACGCCCCTCTAACCAACCGGTCGAAAGTACTGGAACTGCCCTTGCAAGAGGAAGCTGGCGGGCTGGTTTATGTTTTAGGTTAAGTCAAAATGACTAAATGTTTTCTCCCCCGGGTTTATTTTGTCACAGCGTTTGTAATTCCTGAAATTCTGTGTAATTTACGTAATAAAATAACACTTGCACATTATTTCGTGGTAGTTGGCATCGTGGGTACCGCATGAAGTTTATGCATTATTTTCTTCGCATTTGGTCAGAACTGCATTTGTCTTCAGGAATAGAAAAACCAATGAAGAACGTCTTAAATGATAATGACTGGCTCACAAGTAAGTAGTCCTGGGTTAGACAGGGCAGGGCGGGTACAGCTCCCCCAGGAAGTGGGCGCTGCAGCCGCCTTTGGGGTGGGATTTTGTCCCCATGCTCTCTCTCTACAGGTGCTCAAAAAATGTTTCATGAACCACGAGCACTATTTCCTCAACTGCCGGCCATTCGTGTCTTGGAACGAGTTGGGGCTCACGATGAAACGTGGAGGACAAAGCTAGAGGCGGCCTTGCATTTCCGCCCGTAGCCCTAAAGAACCCAGACATCCCATTTCTGAAACCACCGGGAAAATACCGAAGGGGACAACCGGACTTAATTCCCCGGCCCGTGTCAAGGTTATAACCTTCCTCTCCTGTCTCCATCTTCTCTTTCATTCTCTTGAAGATGCTCCTCGGTTACTCCACAATCGTTCCTAAAAGTGGTCGCCTCGTCCCGGTTTCCCCCACGGGTTGGTGAGGGAGCCTGAGCCTCGGTTCTTCAAACATCTGCGGATTAAATACTGTCCCCGAGGGTCCTTCTGCCCAAACCCGCGAATCACCTTCGGCAATGACTGACTCAAGGAAGACTCTTCGTTCTCCCGGTAGTTGTGCGCATGAACCGGCTGTTGGATGAATGTACAGTGTGGCCGTTACATGATCTGCTTAAGAATTCGATGACCTGGGTAATTGAGCCACACTTTTGGAAGGTCCTCGAAGTTCCTGAAACCTTGGATCACGCCAGCCCTTCCTGGTAATCCAGATTGTTTTATGGAATTTAGTTATTTATAAAATAAATTAACCCCCTTTACTAAGAGCCTGGGTAGCTCAGTTGGTAGAGCATCAGACTTTTAATCTGAGGGTCCAGGGTTCAAGTCCCTGTTCAGGCGTCAGCTGTACCTTTTAGTTCAGCCACGTGCGGAAGAAAGACCCTACATGTCGCCCAAATGAACTCAACTTCTTTACAGACTTTCAGGCCTAATCTAGCTTCATGTAATTATACCTTCTAAGAACAAACTAAACAGGTCCTAGACTTTGCAAGGGAATTTGGAATTGTGGGTGATAGAAAGATAAGAACAGTAAAAAACTTGTCACAGAATTGCTATGAATTCTGCCTTTTTAAAATTCCCTGTCATTCTGTGGGGGTGACTCCCTGGAAGGTGGGGTGCAGTTTGATTAGTTCCTACTAGAACATAAACTGAGAGCGGTGATTTCTGGGGTTCCCCAGCTCTTTCACCTGATGGTAGTACACAAGTCTTGCCCACTCTGCAAAATGTAGTTGGTAAACTAAAATCCAAACACATTTTGAGATTGTGTTCGCCATCCACCTTGTGTGTTCATTAAATAGCTACCCTTCTTGGGGCGCCTGGCTGGCTCAGTCGGTAGAGCCTGTGACTCTGGATCTTAGGGTTGTGAATTCAAGTCCCACGTTGGGTGTAGCGATTACTTAAAAATAAAATCGTAAAAAGAAAAAGCTACTCTCCTTCTGAGATTTAAATATGCTGTAAAAGCTCTTGAAACGAGGTTCTTTGCATTTGTCCTCTGTCCAGCACTATAGATTTTTGTAAGATTTTAACTGCGCTTTGGACAAAAAGTCAAGGTTTTCACCTGGTGGGTACTGTGTGTGCAAAGCAAGATTGCCTCTGCCTCATCATTGTTTTCCTCATTTCCACTGTCATATATCTGCAGGAGAAGAACACCATGTCTGAAAAGTTGTGGGGGTTTTCCCCTGCCTTAAAATGGACCTCAGAAATCCTCCACCAGACAGGGCAGCAGAATCCTCTGTATCTAGATGTGCCTGACATAAAAATGTCAAATAGCTCCTCAACAGAAACACATATTAAAAGATCAAAAGTTTGCTGTTCTCCAGATCGAATTTCTGGCCTGCCCTTCAGTACTTAACTCAGTCGGTGAAAGGATGAGATCTCCTAGATGAGCTGAAGGAACCTACAGCTTCAACATCTCCCAAAAGTGTGGATCAATTACCTCGGGTCTCGGACTGGTGCCAGAGCCCTTTATCACTGAGCAGATCATTTAACCTCCACATTGTACATTTGCTAAATGGAGGATTTATGCACACAATTGCATGGGAAATGAAGGAGAAAAGTTGAGCTCAAACAAGAGCAGGTTCCATTTCGGAGTGTTTTCACTGCAGTCAATGCGGGATTGCAGAAAGCAGGTAGGTGGGCAGAGCAGGGGCCCTGGGACATCATTATTCTTACAGGGCACGAAGAGCAGGACATGAGGTTCCTTTATGAACCTGAGGAGAGATGAATCCAATGACTGGAGCTCATTTAATTATTCAGGAAAGTGAAAGATAGGGAGAGAGAGCTGAAGGTCAAAATTACAAAGCAGGGCATATGAGTCTGTTTCCCCCTTTGGAGTTTTCCCTGCACTTTCATAATTGGGATTTTGCAGGTTGTTTAGAGCCAGAAAAAAAAGGGATGTGGTGCGCACTTCAGAGGGCTTCTCCAACTGGAAAAGACCGTTTCCCTCAGAACCCACTTCTCACTTTTCAGTAGGTGTTTCCTCTGCTCATTTTCCCCTCCTTCCTTCTCTCTACCGTTCCCCAGCCCCCTCTCCTCCTTTTTCCCTCTTCTCTCTTCTCTGCTTCCCTCTCTGTTACCCCTCATCTGCCACCTAAAGTCTCTAAAGGCAAAGTGGAGCAGAATTGAAACACGTTATCCCCGCTGCACCCTTTGGCATTCTGTGGTGACTCTATGATTTGGAGGAGAAACACGAAGTTACTTTTGTTGTTATATGATGGGTAGATAGGTACATGACAATCTAGGCTAGATAACTAGGGGTGTTTTTTTTTTTTTAGTGCTATACAAATAGTTTAGATTTTATATTAAATACATTAAACATTTGAATATGTTAGTAACATAATCAGAATAACCAATGACAGAGAAATGACTAATGGCTCCCAAACTTTGAGGCCCACTGGCTCCCACCTCCAGACATTCTACTTTAATTGGCTTGGGTGCCACCCTCCATCAGGGATTTTAGAAGCTTCTAGGTGATTCTAACGTACAGCAACATTCTAATGTACATTGAGAGTTTTCCCAACGGTGGTTGGTTCCTGTACCACCAACATCTCCATAACTGGAGATCTTGCTAGAAATACAGAATGTCCAGACACACACTGTAACTACTAGGGGAGAATGTGCATTTGACAAAATACCCAGGTAATCCCGAAGCACTTAAAGTGGGAGAAATACTGGCCTACAACACCTGTCTCTGCTAATACTTCCACGTTTACTCAGTTTGAAACACTATATAACAACTTATGTAAAGGTTCACCTGTGTCAATAAAATTGTCAAAGTTTTGGAAATGGACAAGAGAAAAGTATTGGGTGTCCTTTCAGGGAAGTTTTGGAATTGTCTGATAGGCTTTTGGAAATTATTTGGTTCTGAGTGTGCACCTTTAACTGAATTCCTTTTTACTAAACTATTCTTGAGTTTTGTATGGTACAAGTTGACTTGTAGATAATTGAGAGCAATGCAAATGATATTTGTCCACAGCAATTCAAGTAAATGTTGCCCAACAAAAAAAGATAATTTCAAGTATTATTGTCCTATAGATTGCTAACCAGTTCCCATTAATGACTCATTTATTAACATCTCCTGAAGACTCTTGGGGTAGAGGTTGTTATCCTAAATGTACAGGTGCACAGGGGGAACTGGGGGACACAGCACCCTAAGACGTCACCCACTATGTAAGCGATGCAGCCTCAATTCAAACACAGCTATCCTTGATTCAAGGTGCTTACGGTTTCCGCTACTTTCCCCAAAATAGGTTGAGCTGCTTCATTTTCTTGTCAGCTCTACCAAAGCTCGTCCTTTCCCGCCGCTTCAGTTCGGAGGCAACTCTGAATGGCTACATCGTGCAGACTTTTTAAAAACTCCATCTTTCCTGAAAGCGATTTTGATCAATATTGCCTAGAGCTTTGACCGCAACGATAGAGAAATCGTAGAGCCGGATAGTCTCTGCGGGCGGCGTTCTGGCTGCAGGGAGTCAGGGGTTCAAGTCCCACGACTGACACACCTGCCATTCAACGGTGCGCGACCTCCCGAGGTTTCTTCTTGCTCCCGCCCCTTCGCCTCCACCCTGCTCGGTCTCCGAGCGCCCGCCCGGCCCAATGCGCCGCGTCCCGCGCCCCGGGTGCTCCAGGGCACCGCCCTCGGTCGCCTTACCTGTCCCGGCAGGTGTCCGTCCCTGCCGGCCGCAAGCACGTCCTCCCGCAGCCCCGCCCGGCTGCAGCGCCTGGACACACCGCCGCGGGGAGAGACGCCCCCCCCGCGCCCCCCCGACAGTCTGCAGATCGGTTCCCGGCGCAACATCCTGCACAGTTTCCAGGGCGCAGTTTGAACCCGAGCGGGAAAGCGGCCGCGGATCCCCTGCGAAGGCCGGCGGTAAACCAACGCGCGGAAATTCGCCTTAAAACAGGAGATGGAATCCGAGTAGGAAGACCTCGTTTCCAGGGAGCCACCCCGGGAAAGTTTGTTACTCTGAAACGGGAATTCGCCTTAAAACAGGAGATGCAATCCGTGTAGGAAGACCTCGTTTCCAGGGAGCCACCCCGGGAAAGTTTGTTACCCTGAAAAGGGCAGAGGCAAAAAGCGCGGTTCGTCCTCTCCCCGTCGGGGAATCGAACCCCGGTCTCCCGCGTGACAGGCGGGGATACTCACCACTATACTAACGAGGAGGACGAGTACACATCCGCAAAGTCTTGATTACAGAGGATTCACACGGTGGGTCCTGACCTTTCTTTCCTGTGCACGGAATTCCTGGGACATTCACCCATCTCTACAAGAGTCATCTGTTACAAGATTCTGTAAAACAGATTTCCCAATGTGACTTCGAAAATCTAAAAACGACAGCCCACCAAAGATGAGACATTGCTGTATATGGTTTTATCACTCATAGCAAAGAAATGTTCCTTAACAGCAAGAAATGCATTAAACATTTTCAAAAAGCCTTCCCCCCACCCCCAAAATAACTTTCCTCCTTCTTCGCTTCAAGTTTATTCCTTATTTTAGATTTGCCTCAAGGGTCACCTTCCCCTGGGACATTTTCTCAGATCACTCTGAGTTAGATGTACTGCCTCTTTTTCGGTTTGCCACAGTAAGAATCGCAGCTGTTATGTATGAATTTCTACATGGAGTACAAGTAAGAGCTTACTCTCAAAATCTATATCTTAGATTTCCCAGCGTTGGCATTAAATGAGTTCTTATTTTTGCATAGCCTTTTAGTTGTGGAAATCCCACTATTAGGAATATTCCTCAGTGAAATTCCAGCTCAGTTTGTTCCACAGGGGGCTTCATAGGAGATAGTCATTGTAGCAACTCAAGGTAGCAAAGAACTGAAGACATACTGGAAGTCAATTACTGAAATGAATGTGTATATTGAGAGAACAACAATACGTTTCCTACAGCTTCAGAACAAATCACTACAAACCCTAGAAATGTGTGATCTCTCAGTTCTGGAGACGAGCAGTCAGAGATCAAGATGTCAGGGGCAAGGCTGTCTCTGAAGGCTGTAGGGAAGACGCTTTCTTGGCTTCTTCCCAGCTTCTTGTGGCTCTGGGCAGTCCTCCCGGCTCCTTGGCCTATACCCATCCCAATCTCTGCCTCTGTCTGTCTCTGTGTGTCCTTTCTTAACAAAGACACTAGCCACTGGATTTAGGATCCACTGTAATTTAATTGAACTAATCTTAATTTAACTCATTACATCTGCAAAAACCTTTTTCCAAGTAAGGTCACATTCTGAGGTTCTGGATAGACTTTCTAAGGGATGCTATTTAGCCGCCTATAAATAAAAGTAGAAGATAAACTGTTTATGCATAAACTTAGTTGACTGCACCAAAATATGCACCAAGAGCTGGAAATGTGCTGATTAAAACTGGTCGTGGCTGAAAGAGTAGGGAGGTGGGAAGGAGGAATATATAGTGCCATGTTATTGTTGCTCGGACTAAAAAGCAGAAGAGATTGTCTAAAGAAAGAGGAGAACAAAGCTCTTAAATGACACAATGAGGACCATAACTAACAGTTAAAAATACAAACTTTCTAAAAATATTAAAAAAGGTAAAATGACAAAATACCCTATTTTCAAAAGAGACATTAAAGACCCAGATAAATGGAGAAGTATATAATTTTATGGATGGGGGACTTAGTATCTCAATGATATCATTTCTTCCTAATTTGATCTATGAATTCAATGTAATTCCAAGATAAATTCCAACAATGTTTTCCAAGAACTTGATAAAATTTCCAAGACCTTGTTGTAAAATTATATGTGAGTGTATAGGGCCTGTAATATCAAGGACACTTTTACTAAAAATAAGGAGAGGATTGCCAACAAGCTTGCAGAACTTATTAGACACTCCAGGAATTAAAATATTTCAATACAGGCACTGGCATTGAACCTCAAATTGATTAAATAGGACAGAGAGCTCAGAAGAGACTGTGTGTTTATATGATTTGGTATATGGACAGTGGTGGTATGCCAGTGCAGGGGAGAGTCCAGGCTATTTAATAAATGGAGCTAGGAAAAAATATTGTATTCCCATGGATGGAAATATGAAATTAGATAAAGATTAACACTAGAAAGATCAAGGATATAAATGTCAAAAACAAAATTTAAAACTCTCGGTAGCATGTATATGAATCAATCAGGAACTTGTTTATACTGTTCTGGGTAACGATGTGGAGACATTTAATATAGTAAATTGGCTACATTAATGATAGAAGAACCGATGCGATCAATGGGACAGAGACTATCTACATGGAAAGCCACAAAAGGTTCAAAGGCCAGGTTACCTGGGAGAACTTGAAACCACAGCAGATGTGCCTTGAAGGCATTTGATGCTTTGAGGAGGTACAGCTAGGGCCAAGCGGGGGTTTGTAAAGCCTGTTTTCACTCTTGCTTCTCTCTTCTCTTCTCCATCCAATGCTGAACACTGATTTAAACCCAACCAGAAGCCACCCGACCGAGCAAGTTGGGGAACGCGGCTTCCATGGTCCAGCATCTCTGTTATAGAGCACCAAGGAGCATGGGATGTGAATCAATCTGAGCACAGACATGGGAGGGCTGCCCCTTGTGCTACTCATCATCCAATCTCAGCATTTTCCTAAAATTTAACTTACATTCAAAAAGTTACTGCTCTGTACACATGAAGATAGCCTCAAAAGCTTCCAAGAAAGAAAAGCAAAGTACCGTCATACCTTTGGAAAGAGAGGGGAATTGGAATGATCCAGACCCCAGATCTAATCACACTAGCCCCGGTTCACTGAGAACTGAAACCAAGAAGACTATGCAGCTCCTGCAAAAGATGGTGTCCAAAGTAGAAAGAGGGGTAGAAGTTACCTGGCTACTCTATCCCTTTTGTGCTCTAATCTCCCATCAGTGCATTTTATTCACTAAACTAAACTGCAGGCAGGTGGGAAGTTGGTTTGGGAAACACAGCCTGAGGAGTGGAGCCCTCTTGATACAAATTAGCAGAAGGAGGGGGAGGAAAGATGAGGATCTACAGACAAATGAGGGCTACTACATGAGAATGTGTATTGGAACAGCAAAGATTGGAAAGACTGGTTAAATACGACACAGAAATGCTACAAGGTTCAAGAATGGGTTTGTGCGAATGAAATGAAGTTTCTTTTAATCAAATTATCGCTTAAAATGAAAACACAAGTTACACCGAGAAAGGTTAACTGCAATTCAAATGAATGATTGAATTGAATTGCAAGAAACTGATGAGAAAAAGAAAAAAAATGTATCAGGAACTCCCACATATGAAAAAGCCAAGCACATCAACCCAATAGAAAAATGGGCAGTCAAATAAATAAATAAACTGGAATTCAGGAGAAAATTCAAATGTATAAATCCAAACATACGTAGAGATGTTCAACGTCATTGTGATACAAAAATGGAAGCCATTCTGCAATAAACTTCTGCTTGATAGGATAAAAATGTAATGTACAAAAATAACAACAGCTGGAGAGGATTTGAATAAACAATATCCCTTTATACATTGCCCAAAGAGACCATGGTGGTTAATTTCATGTGTTACTTTGCCTGGATCACAGGGTACCCAGATATTTGGCTAAACATTGTTTCTAGGTGTGTCTGTGAGGGTGTTTCTGGGTGAAATTAGCACTTGAATGAGTGGATTCACTGAAGCCTTTTGCCCTCCACAATGTGGATGAGCATCATTCAAGCCCTTGAGAGTCTCGATAGAACAAAAAGGCAGAGAAAGAATTCAGCCCCTCCTGCCTGATTGCTCAAGTTGGAAACACAGATTTTCTTCTGCCTTTGGCACTCCTGGTTCTCAGGCCCTTGGACTCAGGTTGAATTACATGGAGCAGAATGTTATGGACTGAATGCGTACCCCCAAATTCATATGTTGAAATCTTGATCTCCAATGTGATGGCATTAGGAAGTGGGTCCTTTGAGAGGTGATTAGGTCATGAGGTAGTCCCTACCGAATAGAATTAGTGGCCTTTAAAGGAGACCCCAAAGAGCTCTCCTGTCCTTCTAACCCATGAGGACTCAGTGAGAAGACAGTGCTTCAGGAACCAGGACGCTCTCATCGAACAACTGAAGCTGTCAGCGCCTTGATCTCCTACGTCCCAGCCTCTAAAACTGAGAAAGAAATTTCTGTTGTTTATAAGCCACCGAGTCTATGGTCATTTGTCATGGTGGCCCCAGCGGACTAAGACAGGGGCACACATTTTTACAGCTTTGGAAAAACAGTTTGTTATAACCTCAAATAGTTAAAACATTTACATAACCTAACAAATCAACAGTTTGTCTTCTAGGAAGGTACTCACAAGATATACATGCACACTTTGCCTTCTTGAGCTTTGCTTTATTGCTTTTATTGTTTTTTACGAACTGCAGGTTTGTGGCAGCCCTGCGGTGAGTGAGTTTGCTGGCGCCATTTTCCCAACTGCATTCGCTTATTCGTGTGCCTGTTTCACACTTTGGT